TGTTTTTGTTTTATATGTGAAGCATAAGTATTTTAGGCTTGGCTAAGTTTACATTATATAATCAGAGGATAATGCACCCTGTTTAACTTGGTTTCAGTAAATTATTCTGCACATTTATTGTTAGATGAGGAGAAAGGAAAAATGAAGACGTTTTCTTAACAACCCACAACTATTCACGGAAACTTATAGTGTTGGCATCTACTACGTACATAAATCGGTAGAATGTGAATTTTTACTGTAATTGCTGGGCGTGTTTAACGTTGCACTTTCATTCAGTAATTCCAGAAATTTGATTATTGTCGAGTAGTAATATTAGCAGAATACCACAGATACAATACACTTTATTTAATCGCAAATGACCGCGATATTTGGATAGTTTATTGGTTTTTATGGTTTGGATTTTTCTCATGGAATTTTAGTTTACGACGTATTTTAAAAGCGTTCATTGTTTCATTTTTAAACCTTATTATTCAATCAGTTAGATCGAGATGTATTTCTAACAGAACAATGTTGATCAAACAGTCAAAACAATAACTGGTCATAAGAAAACTCGGAGTTTAATTGTTTAGAGCCTATGAACACTCTTCAATGGTATAACGTTGTTCAGGGAGATCATTGTTGAGCAAGTGGCCAGAGCCAGGCTGGTTCGATGCTATGTATTTTCTGAAGAAAAAAAAACATTATTGTTCAGGTGGTTGAGGTAATAATCTGTCGTAAGTAAACAACGATGTTTAGTTGTTGATCAGAGCTATAGGTTGTTAAAGAGCAAATGCTCTTTAGCTGGTTTGATTCGACGTAGTTCTTGATGAAAGAACATTGTTGCTCAGGCGTTTTAAGCAATAAGTTGTTGTAACTAAACAATGATGTTTAGTTGTTGGTCAGAGCAATAGGTTGTTAAAGAGCAAATGTTGTTTAGCTGGTTTGGACAGTAACTCATATTGTGTTTGGAATTACAGAAGTACTATCTATCAGTGGGACTACACTAAAGACAGTAAAACTGGTTTTCAGAACGCGCAGATAGCATCAAGTTTTGTTGTGACAAGGCAGCTGAGCACGTGCCGCGAGTCGTCTTCCCATACCGGATGACATCCCGACCCGCCAGGGAGTCTTGTTGTCCCCCGGGTACTCCGAGACGTTATCGCAATTCCATACCTTATAATCGCTGCAATAAAGTCACCCAGGCGCCACCTGTGGGAACAGAACACCTTTTTTGGCATTCGAAAGAAAGTGCCGTTAGTTGTAACGTTCTTTACCCAAGGTCGAACTGATCCGAACACGATGAAGAAATAATTGTTTTTTTATGACTGAACAAGTAGGAAAATATTTCCTTAGCTTTAAAAATCATCATTATATTCATGCGCCATTAGTTTAAAACTAAGAAAGTAATGATAAGACAATCAAGTAGAAAACTACCATCTCTGTAGAAAATTGGAAAACTTAAGTAGAAGTCTTAATAAGGCTAACTTGTAAACTGCTTATGTTAAACAAAATCAAAACTTTTTTCTCGAGATGAGGTCACTCATAGAGACGACAGACTAAGAGAAGTAACCATGAACGTGAAAATACGTTAGCTTTGGGATTATAAAAAAAGCAGTAAACGGGTATAGTGTACATGTAACAAAATAGACTCCATCACCTTGGAGTATCTGAAATTAAAGCTAGCCACAAAATGCGTAAAGTATTTGTTTCAGGTAATTAAGAGATAAGAAAAAACTGATACAGCTTTGGTTCAACTTGATCCTAATGGATCCAATTTTTTAAGTAAAATTAAAACTGAAAAGGAAAAAAAAAATGTCATCGTAGGATGTATTAGAACAATCTATCAAACGAATAACCGAGTTAAATCAACACTGAAGTGACAGCAAATTAATAACAATTTCTGCGAAAATGAGAACTGATTTACACTATTTTGTTTGAAAAATTACTGAATGAGAAATCCCATTGATCCATTTAATTCCCGTTTAAAAGTAATAACATCAATTACAATGAAATTTCCAATTGAAGTTTGTTAGTTTTAATTACATTATGCAGTGTCTATTTAAGTTTCAAGAAACTATTAGAACTCGACTAGAAACTTAGTGGAGGTACTATGATCTTTCAACTTGAAGAATACTGGTCTGATTAATCTCGCAGTTGAAACACAAAATACATCGTTTCCGTTAAGAGCTCTTTCTTGCAAAAGTCTTCGCTAATGCTGGAAAGGCCAACGTTAAGAATTATTTGTTTGTTTTAGAATCTCCACGAAAAGTTGCACAAGGGCTATCTATCTACACGTAGTCGTCCCTAATTTTTAGCTGATAGACTAAAAGGAAGGCAGCTAGTCAACAGCACCCACCTCGAACTCTTGGGCTACTCTCCAACGCTAAAGAAGGAGATGAAATACAATTTTCGTCCCACACACTCGTGATAATTAAGATATTTTCTCCCGAGAGATGAAGTGGGATGTTTCAATTATGTTACATAAGAAACGGAAAGGGTGTGTTTTATTTCACTCGATATAGTAGTCTATACTGATGCCATGACTGTCACAATATTTTGAACTGAATCTTTTGATATGATTAGCAAAGTACTGTGAGATAACACTGCTGCCATGATTGCCATAGTACTGGGAACTAATACAGCTGATTCAGTTATCAGAATACCACTGCCATCAGTGTCATAATACAAAGAGCTAAGACTGATAATATGATTATCAGAACAACCGAAGTTAATATTACAAACCAGATTGTCAGAGTACTAGGAGCTGATGCTATTGATACGGTTATCCGAATACCAGGAAATAATACTACTGTTGTGACTTACAATACTACTGAAATCGTTATAAGAGTATTAGGAGTCTATATAACTATCATAATACGAGTTGATGCTGATGACATGGTTCTCAGAATATCAGGAGTTAATACTGTTCTCATGACTGTCATAATACGAGTTGATGCTGATGACATGGTTCTCAGAATATCAGGAGTTAATACTGTTCTCATGACTGTCATAATACATGGTTGATGCTGATAACATGGTTCTCAGAATATCAGGAGTTAATACTGTTCTCATGACTGTCATAATACATGAGTTGATGCTGATAACATTGTTATCAGAATATCAGGAGTTAATACTGTTCTCATGACAGTCATAATACACGAGTTGATGCTGATAACATGGTTCTCAGAATATCAGGAGTTAATACTGTTCTCATGACTGTCATAATATTGAGTTGATGCTGATAACATGGTTATCAGTATTACTTAATTGTTGTTGTATTATGATGGAATATTCTACTCTTTACGGTACTAAAAAACGTTTTACTTACACATATAAAAGCCAGTCACAGTAAACTTGAGACTGTCTTTAATTTAGAAATAAACCCGTTCCTTCTCTTTAAAAACTTAGCATTTATAAAATAGGGATCAAATTGTTTTTGTTACAAAACTATTGCTTTTTTTACATTTCAAAGATAGTATACATAAATTGTGACAACCGACGGTGAATCGTAATTAAGTAATATATTTATTCAAACTATTCTCAATACTTCACCATAACGTTTTCTTCTCCCACGTGTATCTAATTATATGAAATGGTCTCATGTGTTACGGTTGCAAATTTCAGAAGAAAAAGAAAAGTATAAGTTAAAATTACATCAGCTTAGCATTAACATTTGTAAATCCATCGATATAACTGGTACGTTAAGAAGGAAGGTTCTTAAGTGCAAGTCGAAGCTTTAATGTATTACGATATGAAGTTTAGTTTCACCGATAATATTCCTATATTCAACATAGTCAGACTGAATATTGGTTTTTAATATTCAGTATAAACACTATCTAACTCTTGTTTGATAGATCCAAATTATATGAGATGGTGGCTTTTATTTAGAAAGCTTTCAACTGGCATATCATCTTGCTTTACAACTTTAGAGTCCATGGAGACATTCATATTATAACTTTGTCTGAACAACGATTGTAGGAGCCTTTTTTCCTTCCGTTAATTAAAGCTACATTTCAGGAAAATATTTACATTTCTGGCACAAGAGGATTTGAAAATAGTTTTATTCTGAGTGATGTAATATTTTTTGTTCATGTTTGCAGCAGACAATTCTCTACCGTGGGATTTTTTTTTGCCTTCGTTCCTTTAAAGCACTTTGACATTTACTAAATCGTTACAAAATATTTGGCGGCTTTCTTACTTAATAAAAACTCAATAATAGCGGGTCTGAAATGATAAATCAGGGTATTTGCAATTGTAATTTATTTTATCACTTCATCACAACAGAGCAAAAATAAACTAATACACAAATTACTTCAATAATCTTACCCTTGGGTAAGAATGCAAGTACAGAGCGTTTGTAATAACTTCCATGTTTATGTTTTAAGTCCGAAAATTAAAAAAATAATAAGAAGAAGAACTTTCGAGCGAAAGTGAAAAAAAAAGCGTATAATAATAACACGTTAACCACACTATATCTGATATATACCCAGTGCTGACGAGGTGTTTCGCTTAATACCAGTGCTCTTTATACTGGATGGGATACAACAGACATAATAGTGATTTGAGCGTCATTTTTATTAGCAAATAACTTGACCATAACGGTTTTGATGTCAACTGGATTAAGTTGGTGAATGTAACTTTTTCATCAAATTGATTTAAGAAAACAGATCGTAATCGGAACAATAATTTTTAACACTATCATTTATTTATTTAACACCATACAAAACGCCTAAATCTCGAAAACCTTATTAACAAGAATGAAGCACAAGTATGTTAACATACGACACAACAAATAATCCCACGAGTTGATAAACGTTTATACCATCATGCTTATCTCGCTGTATCTCAAAGACTGCTGTTACGGATTACCATCAAAATTCCTATATTAAATGCAAAACATACGTTAACAGGAAACAACACACCTCCATCAGCGAGCAAAGAGATTATTTAATGTAAGTACTCTTACTCTGTACTTAAGATTTTAGTTTACATTTTACAGTAAAAAGATAGCAGATCTTTACCTGATTAACCAGCTGCTGAAAATGTGGTGTGTTGGGATCAATGACAGGTTGCATGGCATACTCCGTTAAAGTCTTCCAAGGTGGGTGGTAAGTCTGGACTTCAATTGGATTCACTTGTAAAGGACTCTCGTGTCGCACTGGGCTCGAGGCTACCATCGGAACCCCACGCATGGTGCCAAGACTAACCTGTCGGCCCTCCTGCGGAAGGTAATAAAAATAAATTACAAGGCGGTAAACCTCAAATTTTGAAATTGGCCAATAGTTTATAGTATTAAATTTGTTATTTTGTTTTCTTTTGAACCGGTTTAGAAAAGCGGAGACTGCGGTGACAGTTTCAATCATAAAAATGTTTATAATTTACATTTTGGAACAGATAGCTGGACATTGTGGCATGCACCAACAGTATTTAGTATCTCATCACACACGGTCAGGAATGTTAATGACGAGTTTCGAAAGATTACAATCTGAATAGTATCGTTGAAAATTTAACAATTTGAAAAACAAAATGTATAATATGTTGAAAGAAACCAGTTTGATGACTTTCTTCACATCTGAAATATTGTTAAAGGAACATGTTCACTAAAAATGTTTTTGCTCACGTTATTTATGGGACAATAAATAAAAAACAGAATTGAACAAAACTGATAATTATAGTGTCTAATTCCATTTATTATAGCTTATAATATGTTAACGGTTTGTGTTATGTGATGTGTAACTGGAGATACAAATCTGCCTAAGTTTGTTTTCAAATATGTCTAAAATGACACGATTCAGTGTATGAAGGCATGTATACCCCCATATCTAACTCGTATAGATATGTATATATCCATATCTAACTCATACGTGTGTATATCCATATATCTAACTCATATAGATATGTATATATCCATATATCTAGCTCATACGTGAATGTATATTCATCGAGCTGAAACATGAGCATATTCATGTATTGAGTTGATATATGCGTAGATATTCATATATCTAGCTCATATACGTGCGTATATCTCTGGGTCAACGCACTTCCATTTGTCTGTCTTGGGTGGGCACTGTTATAATGTAAGCTCGTCACGTGATCCAGTGATGCACCAGCCACGGTGGCTGTCACATACGGTAAATTACCTCCAAATAAGCTTATAGACCTTTTAAACGATCAATACAAATACACAGGCTGTTGGATGAAGCAGAGTCCATTAGGCTCATCTCCAACTGATGGATCTCAAGATACAAAAAGACTTACATAATGCAGCTACGAGAACGAGAGGCCAACCTTACTGTATACAGGAGAGGAGTGAATGAGGGGAGAGATACAGACTACACTAAGTAACTATATAAACGTGAATACACTTACGTTATCCTCTTGTGTAGTCCCAGCTATCTTCATCCTCACTAACGGATATATTTACATATGAAGACACTGTTTTAAGCCTTCACTGTTGTGCATTAATGTAGTTTAATGGTATCGACTTAGTGAGTTTTACTGGGGATTTTAATGTCTTCTTGCATACGTAATAACACGTTCTTGTAGCTCTCGAGTTACCTACCGAAAATGGTCATGCTATTCTTTATTGCACGCATTGGAGAAATATAGAAGCTTCATAATTTCTTTTATGGCAGTATTTGGAGTTTTTACGACTTCAAACTTAAGAGTAAAACTTAATTTGTCTTAGTTTACCGAAATCCATATGATGTCATAAGCTATTTCGAAACCATGTTCGGTCTGATGAAATTTTGAAAAGTTTACTTCTTATTAGAGTAGTATCTCAACGGTAAACAAGAGAGCTTATAACTCTCAAATTCGAGATTCTATGCCTGCGTTTGGTACAGCACAGAGAGCTATCTCATTGTACAACTCTGTGCAAAAAAACAACAAACAAATCAGATATAAAAAAATACACAAAATGCTCATTTGTAAGAACAAAAAAAAATTTTTCCTTAAAAAAGTAGCCTAGTAGAGATTGCACAATAACATATATTCGTTTCATTGTATGTTATACATTGTATACGTTTGTGACATGTATTATATACAAGTGATTCGAACTTAGTTTCCACATAGGACATAAAAAAGTTTTGTATAAACTAGAAAAGAAATGTAAAGCCCTTAAATTAAGTCATGCATTTGTCATTTTATTTTTCTATCCTATAGAAATAACAAACCTAAAAAGATATAGTACATAACAGACTTAAATTTATAAAGCTAAGTAAACAGAACAGTATAGGACCACCACTTGGGAAGGCTTACAAGCTCAACTGTACTTAAACTCAAGATCCAGAAAAGGTTTTGAGGATACCAATTTTCCCTCTTAAATATTCTCTCTTCTCGCAGTCAACAAATCACTAAGTAAAACAAAAAAACTTTAACCTTTAACCTTTGAATCATAGACATCATGTACCTAAATAAATAATAATGAATGCAAGAGGTCAAATGTTTTGCTTGTTCACACATCATTCAAAATTTAGTCTGGAGAAGTTTTTTTTTCATACTATGACTTCATACAGAACAATATATTATAGAGACAGAAATGTATATTGAAAGAAATAAACACCTCTCACCTCTTTATTTGTTTTTCTGAATAACTGAATATTCTATATACAACTAAAAATGCCCATTTTTGCTCAGGGTAATATAATACGTAACTTAAAAAGATTATTTTAAACAATTCAAAGTCTGAACGAATTTTCAAATGACTCTAAAACTCCTTATACTTTAGATGGTTATTTGAATTTGATAAAATTTTGAAAAAAAAAATCACCCAATTACTGGTAAATCCAGATGACTTTTTTTTACCAGGTTTGGGAGAAATAAACACCCATTTAGTTTTCCTCCGAACTATTCTTGGTCTGAAAGGTTAAATACCACAAGGTTAATTACCACATCATTTTCATTGGATTTTAAAGTTCATTAACAAGAGCTCGTTTATTCACTAAAGGTTTGTTACGAAATTGTAAATTAAAAGATTACTAAAACGAAACAGTGAAGTATTTCTCAGTTTTCTTCCCTATCTTTTTTACTTTTAGTTTTTATAAATAGAGACCATTTCGAGACAACAAAGAAAGAAAGGAAAAAACAAACAAAAAAACAATAACTCTGATTTGTGCTCAAATATTTATGTACGTGTCGATTTTCGGAAAGAAATATTTATGGCATCCTGCAGTTTCTTCCCTTATCCAAACAAATTGATATCTTTATAGTAAGGAATGTCTTTATATAGCTAGACATTAACATCCTGTGAGAGCTCCAGCATCCAAAAACTAAAAACTAATAGCCTAATCTGATTCACCGAGTTTCGCTTCACAAATGTTCTTCTGAGAAACCTATTTAAGTCTAAATATCATTAAAGTGCTTTATTATCAACATAGAAATCTATTATAAGAGAAACGTTAATATATTTACAGAATGATCTTTTATGAAAGCTCAAATATTCTTAACCTAATATTATTCAATGACGAATATTGTACCTGATAAGTTTCTTCCTGAAAATCTCAGATCTCATCATTAGCATCTTATCGGTATCTTTTTTTTCAAGAAAATAAAAAGCGGATTGGTGAGAAACGATTCAGAAAGGTTTACCTCAATTTCCATCAAGTAAAGAAAATAAAAATGTGCTTATTTCGCGGAAATCACCTACTGAGTGTCGGGTTTAGATTTTGTTTAATATTCTATATCGGAGATCTATATAGGTGAAATAGGCTGTGAGAGTAAAAAAAAGCGCGTGGTTGTTTGCTACAGAGGTAATAATACAAAAGATGAGGTGGTATAGGAACAAATAAAGTCAGAAAAAGGAAACAAAAACAGACATAAAAAAAAATGTTTGGGTGAATAAGACACTAACCCAATAGCCTTCCCGAACGGTGGCCCGAAATATAGAAAGTGCACTGTGCCCTACCGGGGAATGCTGTGGAGAACAGTCGGAGTCGGACATGGAGAGGATGACAAACTGTGAACGATAAAGAGATTATTAAATCAGTACCTGAAATCAAACAGTTTCAATACTGCTTCCTCTTTTCTTTTTTTCTTTTTAACTTTAGAGAACATTTCACAGCTTTTACATTAGTGTGGGGTCATGAGCAGTCCCTAAATATTTTGTGAGTTAAAGCACTGATCCACAGGAAAATAAAATAATTTCAAATCAAAGTGGAGATTAGGTTTTTCATAAAGTGGATATAATACAAGGATTAGAGAAATCAGGATTAATGGGGTTGAATGGTAATGTTAGTGTTAATCCAACTAGAACTGCGAGAATTTTTCTTCTCGCTTTTTCTATTTTTTTTTACTTTTTTTTAGTGTTTCGCAATTCATAAAATTTCAATAAGTTCAAATAAAACCTTAACTTATAGCAACGATAAAATAAAAACAAATGTTATTTGAAAACTAAACTGAACCGGCATTTTTGGGTGCGTTCTACTAATATACTCAATCGCATTTTGTTTGTGGAGGTTTTTTTTGGGGGGGGGGTAAGCGCAGTTCATTCATATACAACTAAAGCTTTTAACAAAAACCTTGAAATTTATTTAATATTAATAATGAAAATTAGAAATAGGGGTTTAAAACACCTGAAACATCAACAAAAAAAAGAAAAAAAAAGAAAATAGCATTCCAAATCATCTAATAAAAAGATGGGTGTAAGGGTATGGGTGTAAGGGTAAAGAAAAACAATGAAGAAAACTCTTATAAAACAGTTATCACCACCTCTCATATAACACACGTCTCGGTTACAAGACGATAACATTAACCTTAAAGTATTGGAAAGTCGTTAAAGCTTGGAATACTTTTGAATCTAAAAAGAACAGAACGAAACTAATATTCTTTGTATAAACTGGACTAAAAGAATAACCATTAGAGGTAATGATAAAATGTTTAAAATCCCAAACATTTATATTTAGATAAAATATTTATTTGTTATATATAGTTATAACACTTAGCCCGTAAAAGAAGTTTGCTTATATATGTACGTGGTAAAGCAAATGTATATGCTTTATATAACTGTTTTATAATAAATTTAACGCTTAGAACAAGAACGACATGGAGGAAATGTAAACCGCGAAAAATAAAAAGAATACGACAACCTCACATGTCACTATACACATCCTCCATAATGCAATACCAAAAAAATGCTGAGGCTTTCAACAAGCATTGCATATGTCATCCTTAAAAAAATAAAATACTACTATTCAATATAACACGTCCTATTTCTGAAGACCCTGACTGCTTTCATTCTTGGGTGGATAGGCTTAGCGTTCATTTCTATTAGGGTTACTTCTCCTGTTATCTGTATGATTTTGTAATTAATTTAGGTAAAGCTTTGTTGGCTTTAAAACTCAATAGATAGATTTTGTAGCTCAACAATTACCGTTTATCTAGAACCACTAGTAAAGACGATGTACTGACGTTACTAGGATACAAACATATACCAAGACTCTTTTTTAAATATGTCAAAAAATAATAATTTGTTCTCGAATTGTGAGATTTTACGAACTAAAAAACTCCAGTATTTAAACTTGTATTTGAGTTACTTCCTCTAAGGATTAAAATATATAGTAATTTCATGTGATAAAAACTATGGTAACTTTCATAACCTTCACACACTAATAAACTAATAATAAGTTAATTTGATTTTCATACCCGTTACATCTAGAGACTATATAGAGCACATATCTTTAAAGGCTTAGAAGCTATAACAAGTTAATTTGATTTTTATAGACTTTACATCTAGAGACTATGTAGAGCACACATCTTTAATGGCCTAGAAACTACAACGAATTAATCACATTTTCACAGGTATTACATCTATAGATTATAAGGAGCACACATCTTTCACAGCTTTTACACTTTTAGATTTTATGGTAACATTTGTTTATAACCTTTACCTGGAGACTATTTTAAGCTCATAGCGTTCATATTATTTACACCATCGGATATATGTTGTTGATATATTTCATAGTTTTAGATGTAGTGTTTATAAGAAGCACATATCTTAAGGTTAAACGACCTTTACATCTAGAGGTTATAAAAAGCACACATCTTAAACGGCCTTTACATCTAAAGATTATAAAAAAGCACACATCTTAAACGGCCTTTACATCTAGAGATTGTAAAAAAGCACACATCTTAAACGGCCTTTACATCTAGAGATTATAAAAAAGCACATATCTTAAACGACCTTTACATCTAGAGGTTATAAAAAAACACATATCTTAAACGGTCTTGACATCTAGAAATTATAAAAAAGCACATATCTTAAACGACCTTTACATCTAGAGGTTATAAAAAAGCACACATCTTAAACGGCCTTTACATCTAAAGATTATAAAAAGCACATATCTTAAACAACCTTAAATGTGTTTTACGAGTTTTGTTTTACTGTTATTATATTTTTACCTCTAAACGACTAACAAACGTGAAAGCAAATTAAAATATATAACAAACTTCGGCTGAATTAGTTCTGCAAAAAAATTTTCTGCTTACATATTTAGAGCATTGCATCCTTACACACATTCAAATATAAAGATAAATATTCTAATATTTTCATTTTTAAGAAGTATTATTTCAAATCGCACAATATTAGTAAATCTATTTAAAAAACACTTTGTTATCACAAACAATACAAGTAAGTTAAGTAAGCATTCCATTACTTATAAACCAGAAAGATACAATGGAAGATGTTCATTTAATAATCTTAAATGCAATTAATAGAGTTTAAATTTAATTAAAATATCTAAATGGGTAAGTTACACTTGATGCCGTATTTCATATCTATGGTCGAACTTATTAACTATGTAAAATGAGCAATAAAATCATAGTGTTAAATTAAAGTGATCGTCTGTGCTGCACTGGATGAGACTTCATGAAGGTTAGCTTCCTTCCATGTTTACATTTATCGAGCTTTCTCGTTTCCGTCTGAGATATCACGCGATTTGACAAAGCATTATGTTCAATGATGTAATTGAACCGAAATAGCATTGTTGTATTGATTAATATTCGGTAGTTAGAAAGCCGTATCTCCATTCTTCCCATTTGTTTCTGAACGTTACTTGATTAGCTACCACGAGTTACTCTTAGGCTATAGTTCCGCAATAGCTTGGCTGGTACATCATATACAATGTATCGTCATTAGTGTTTCAACATGACTTTTAAACATTAGAAATAAACAAGAAAGAAAAATGCTGTTAACATGTTTATTGATGCGAGCTCTTCAAACTTGGATAATAAATGGGTGTTGTGAATATAATTTGTACACAGTTGCAAAACAATAAACCCTCTCCATTTTTCCGTTTTATACATTACATTAGAGCTAACAGTTTTGTTTACAACTAGCAGTAGTTGACTTTTCCAGTCTTAATAAAATGATGGCCAGCTTAACCCAATTTTTTACAGCGCAAACCAAATGACGGCCAGTTTAACCCAACTTTTACAGCGCAAACCAAATGATGGCCAGTTTAACCCAACTTTTACGGCCCAAACCAAATGATGGCCAGCTTAACCCAACTTTTACGGCCCAAACCAAATGATGGCCAGCTTAACCCAACTTTTGCAGCCGAAACCAAATGATGGCCAGTTTAACCCAACTTTTACAGCCGAAACCAAATGATGGCCAGTTTAACCCAACTTTTACAGCCGAAACCAAATGATGGCCAGCTTAACCCAACTTTTACAGCCCAAACCAAATGATGGCCAGCTTAACCCAATTTTTAGAGCCGAAACCAAATGATGGCCAGTTTAACCCAACTTTTACAGCCCAAACCAAATGATGGCCAGCTTATCCCAACTTTTAGAGCCTAAACCCAATGATAGCTAGCTTAACCTAACATCAGGTCCATAACAAGTAAGCCTTTTCCCTTAAATTGGTACAATTAAATTTTTGCATGTTTAAATGCAGTTATACTTTGATAGAGGGAGTCAGCCTGATAGCGATTTCGAAGCCTTTACAAATATCGTACATGCTGAAATGTCTATGAAGCTTAAACCATAAAGATTTACATTGTGTAGGCGTTGATATCATGTTTTCTACACCCGATATAAACTCTTGAATATTGAAAATATTGTCATTGTTTTCATCGATTTATCCTTATGCTTTTAAACAACGCAGTAGATCCGTCATGGTATACAGTGACAGGAAGCAGACATTTCATATTGGATAGAACTATGTATGAGTGTGTGTACACCTTAAACATCGGAGAAACAACGTTGAATAAAGTACTTCACATACAGATAAGTTGCGTGTACTTCCTATGAATGAGCTGCTACAGAACCCTCTGCTGCAGGACACGAAAATATGCAATTTTCTCGAACGTGGTTATTGTTTCTGATGTCGAACAGAATCGATCTGACATGGCAATCTGGTGTAATTTTTGCCTTTTGTTCTGACAACAGTCATAGCGTGTGAAAGTCTGGAGTGGGGTGTCACCCGGTAAAGAACACGATGTACCACCGGAACCGGTATGGTTATTGTTTGCTATAGTAGAGAATAAAGTATGGAAGAGTTTGTTATGAGTAGCATGATAAACCATCTGAACTAGTAAAGGTATGGTTAGTGTTTGCAACAGTGAATAATATAACACAGAATGGTTTCTTAGGGTTTGTGGGATATTCCAAGATAAACCATCTGAACTAGTAAAGGTATGGTTAGTGTTTGCAACAGTGGAGAATATAACACAGAATGGTTTCTTAGGGTTTGTGGGATATTCCAAGATAAACCATCTGAACTAGTAAAGGTATGGTTAGTGTTTGCAACAGTGGAGAATATAACACAGAATGGTTTCTTAGGGTTTGTGGGATATTCCAAGATACATTATGGAAACTACTATGGATATGGTTATTGTTTGTAATAGTAGAGAATATAACACAGAATGGCTTCTTGGGGTTTGTGGGATATTCCAAGATAAACTATGGAAACTACTATAGATATGGTTAGTGTTTGCAACAGTGGAGAATATAACA